CTGAAAGCCAGGAAGAACACACCAGCTGGGGAGGAAAAAAAAAAAGAAAAAGAAAAAAGAAAAGATGCCCGAGTATCTACCCAAGGAGTTAATGCAATGGGGTATATGTGAAGGGGTTAAATCACTACACAGGTACAGATCCTGTGGCAATTACAAATGTTATTGAAATAAAAACCAGAAACAGGAAGCCAAAAAACAGGTCCCTAAGGCAGGCATCTGTCTTAAATGATATCATTTGTCAAGTTTCCAGCATCTTGTGGTTGTGAACACAAAAACAAGTTCTGTGTTATACTAAGGACATTACATACTCATTAGTTGGAATGTTCCTGAAGTACGTAATACAGGATTTTCATTTAATAAGAAGCAGCTACTTGCCACTGCGTTGTACATAAAATAAATTCCGGGCATGCTAATTGCCATTCAAGGATGTTCTACCTAATTTTTGACAGGTTTTTCTTCCCCTCCCCCTTTAGACTACACTGTAAAAATTGTGAGCAGAATGTGTTGCTATAGTTTAAAAACCTTTTTAGAATATTTTCTTATTTCTGAAATCTGGATTCCTGCAGTGATGAATATTGAAAGCTTTAATGCAGATATTAAAGAAAAAAAAAAAAACAAGTTACCTATAGGAATATCGTAGCAAGAAGGGGAGTAGCAAAAAAGTGAAATACATATATATATACACACATGTATGCATCTCAGCACAATAACTCTTCAATTCATCACCCCCCATCTCGAAGAACGAACCTAACTGTAATTAATTGGTATAGTTCCTCTATCTGAACACTATTAGTGCATTAGAGTTAACTAATATATAAGCTTCCCCCTCACTGCCCTGCCAATGACCTTAAGCTTCACATGGTAGGAAGGCCACTTGCTGTAGAATAGAAAAGTAATTTATCCACCATGATTGTTCAGCCCTGGCCCCTCTGTAAAACAGCGACTGACAATTGTGCTCTATTATGGATGGTACGTTTGTGGTGTGTACAATAGTGTGCAGAGCATCAAACTCACTTCCCTGAACACTGCAGGCAGGGTTTGAAAAGTGATCCTAGAAAGAAGAGACCACTTGCTGAGCGATGGCTCTCCATTTTCAAATCTTTTTTTTTTCCCTCCAAATACCTCCCCCTTTTTTTTTGCCCCAAAGAGGGACTAATATTGTTTTCTCAGCTTAAGTAAGAGCAGTATGTAATCTTCCATTCATAAAAGTATATGTCAGATTTAAAAAAAAAAAAAAGGTTACTTTGCTTTTATTTTACCTGGGATTTCCCTGCTTCTTTCCACATTTCAGGATTTAGCATATTCCCTCAAAACATAATAAATTTCGATTCTGTAGCTTAAGGGATCCATCAGTTAAAATGTTAGTCTTTCATCTTTATTACCCTCCCATTAAAATGAAAGAAACCGGGACACACTTCAGTTTAGAAGAAGCAATTTAGTTGGTAATGTCCTTACTGCTCAAGTCTTTACAAAGAGAGAAAGTGCATTATTGCTTATATTTCACACATCTATCTGCATAAGAAGCAACTAAAGCTTTCAGACACATACGATGTTAAATTCAATAATATTCTTTGATTAGATTATTTTATTACAACATTTTTCCATTACCAGTCATTTCCCGTACACATTTACATTCATAAAACCTGCAGGTTTTTCTTTGTTTGTGTGTGTGTATACGTATTCATAAAGCAAGGAAAAGATTTTCTGGCTTGCTACAGCTGTTAGATTCGAGAAGAACAGATTAATAACTAGCCACCACGTAGGACTAGGTTTTCTTGTACACTGCACCAGTAACCCTTTGCTATAATGAGGACACAAAGAGGCTCACATCAGGCTGCTCCTCTTCTTCATAACTCAAAAGCGTCACAGTGGCAATAGCCTCTAGTGCTATTTGTCTTTAGTGCAGTTGTGACACTTCAGCATGATCCATAATTTGGCAGCTATTTACCGTGACATTTCCCTTCAGTGCAGCCATAACATTCAGTGAAGCCATTATTTGGTTCCATTTACCATATAAATTGTATTGTTGTGCATGCATGCTAGCAGCTACATTAGGTACCTGAAAATGAGTAAATCTTGTAAAATAGATACTAACAGTTATTCAGCAGAGAAATTTCTTTACTCCTCAGACAGAAGTAGGAATATATATATAACATCTGCAAACACTACTGCAAACTTTTCCTTGAGAGAGCGTAATTGTATGTATTTACATGACACAGCAGTTACTCATATCCACTTACTAAATACACACATTTTTATATGCATATATACACACACACATATGCACACGTACAAATATATTGCAAACTATTGCTTGGTAGAAATCTAACTAAACTCAAAAAGGTATTAGGAGAATCCAGCATAGCAATTAAGTAGGAAGCATATCTGTAAAATGTGCTGAGGGTTGCAGGCCAGGAGAGAGCGAGTACGTGTGTGCCCGTGTGCGCGTGCGTATGCACACATGTGACAGACTCAGGAAAAAAGCCAGCTCTTCATCTAGTTCTTTGTTGTTTTTCCATGGAAGCATGTGTGTGTAGGAAAGGGAAATTCTGTTATTAGACTCAGCAAACAATGCCAGATTCCTCTGTAGCAAATTCATTTAGAAAGGTAAAATTAGGATGTAGTGCTAGCAACCACATCTCGATGAGCTGCTATTATTAATAGTATTATTATTTAAATCCCTGCTCTCTACATATAGTATACTTAGTACTTCCCAGGCAAATGTATTATTATTTTTAATCATTTAAGTCCCCACTGTGCACACAGCTTTTAATACACCTTTTTTGCAAGCATATTAAGTGTATTGTTATTAATCCCTTGCTGTGACTCTACAGTATTTCTTTTCCTTGTATGTTCAATGTCCTATCATCATTTAAACCTCTCAGTGTGTGCATGCCATATACATTTTCCTATCCATCTAATATTTAAACATTATTTAAATCCATCATAGCTTACTTATTCAAAGTCAGCCCTGCTCCCATAACTGTAAGTTTGCAGAATATACTTTTAAATAAAGAGAAGTTGGCTCCCCCCCCCCCAAACCAAAAATTCTTATGCATCTCGGCAGAAAAGCCTTATCTGCGTGTTTCAGAAATACTTTTCACCCTCTCCCTGTTGATAATGCTCTTTTTCAGCAATCTATATGATAGAAGTTGTATCTTTAAAAACCAAAATTACTTCTTCGTTCTGGATTCATTCATGGAAGAGCAATCATGCATCCCCTGAGTTACCCCTTTAGCTTAACACAGGCATTTGGTGAAAAGGACAAGCCCAATGGCCATAGCCCAACCCAAACACCACAAGGGCTACGAAATAAGTACACTGGCCATACAAGTTCTGCATATAACAAATTTAAACTTTTTATTAACACTGTAATCAGTATGAAAGTGCTAAATAATAAGCCTGAAGCCAAAATTAAAACCAACAAAATGTCATATCTGAATACATATACATATGTGAACCTTCCAAAGGTTCCTCTCTTCCCTTATTTTGATCAGTGAAAGAGCCTGGGGCAGCTGTATTACCCAGTGTTATATATGAACTAACATACTAAAAAGAAATTAGGATACTGTATGTCCAAACAGAATCCTGTTACAAGAAGAATTTTTTACAACAAAAACATTTGGAATTCACTGCCTCAGAAACACCTAAATCTATTGGACTGGCAGTGATCAACACTTCTGAAAATCGGGCCACTTGGATGGGTTTTGGCATTTGACTGCGGGAACTTAATTTGAAAAATTGTTACCCATGCACCTCTTCTGTGCGTATCACAGATGTAACCAATTGTATTCTTTTTATTTTTATTTTGCCCTAGTACACCCCAAACAGCCTTCTTTTTAATATGCATTTATTGACCAGGGGTACCGCCTTTTCTGTGAACAAGAAAAGAAACCATGTGCCTAGGAGTAAAACAGTGAGAACTTTGCATGCCCTGATCTTGTATGGTACTTGAATGTTTGCATCTTTCTAGCATCCAGTTGGAAGAACAATGTACCTTTCTAATTATGCAAAACACACAAAACACCACAATATTTGTAAGATTAGAGGGGAAGGAGGAATTATGTTTCTAACATCAGATCTTGGTGAAAACAAAAATCATAGTGGTATGATGCTCAGATTGAGTAAAAGAGATACTTAGCTTTGAGTAACAAAGACTCAAGCCATTCTGCCTTTCCCCAAAATCCTCCAAAGTGGGACTAAACCCAGTAGCCAGATGTGGCCCAAAAAAGGGACAGTTCTTTGTTGCACACAGTTCTTTAGGATGCCAATGACATATGCATTAAAACATTACAATAAAAATGCACTAAATCAGAGTTAAAAATACTTTGCTACTGCCTGTACTACTGAGTAAAATAAGGTTTTTTCCTACATGTTACTTTTAAAAATGTCATGTATGGTCAGTCCTGAATAATGCCCAAATATTAAGTTTACCCTGGATTTTTTCCTTCAACCCCTAGACATTATCGGCCTATCATTACGTTTATTATTAGGTGTATGATCTTAGGAAATTTCCACGTCTCCAACTGCATACAACTGTATATAATTTCAAAAGATGTGGCAAAATCAGCCTTTAAGATCTTAAACATTTGCTATGGAAAAAAGATGTGGAGCAAGCATAGTTTAAAGTATTTTATTGTTCTGGAAAATGTTACACATCTAGCAGGAATTCCCACTGCATGTACCATTAATAATATCTATTAAGTGAGGAAGAATTTTCAAAACTTTACAAAACCTTTTAACTGCACCCACTCGGTAACCTATGGCTGAGCGTCAGTACGCGTACGAGGTACCGTGCCTGTAGATTTAAAATGGTCTTGGCTGTTTGCACAAGGGCTTCTGCAGAAGCAATATTCGGTAAAAGTAGAAGCAGCAGCCTGATTATGGGAAGTCACAACAAGAATCATCAGTCAAAGAACTCTACAACACAGAGATTATCTCCAAAGGAGCTAGTCAGCAAGAACCGTATGAATATGAATAAATGCCACAAATATTTAAACAGCTTTTTTAACTTTATTAAATCTCAAAAAGATATACAGGACCTGAACACACGTGAACATGGCTCAAAACCCCACTCCAATAATCTTGTAATACTGACTGAAGGGGAGACCGGACAAGTAACAGTCACAGTAGCAAATGAAAAGGGAAGAAAATGAGATTATGTTGTAACTTGTAGTTAAAGATTTAAAAGAAAATTGCACAGTTGTTTATAGTTATGAAAGACATAATTAAAAAAAAAAAAGTCAAGTTGCTTTTCTTAATATTACTGACATGTCAGAATTGGAGGATAAATGTTCCCTGTGTAACTAGTCAAGGAATATTACTATGATCCATGATGCAACTGAATTATGATTATCGTGTTTGTGACAAAAAATGAAAAGCATAATTTTTTCCAGAAACTTCAAGAGATCAATAGAACAACCACAAGATACGACTCTTTACTTAGTCTTGTTCCAACAATTTTATTTTTAAATCAGGGAATCGAAATTGCTGAAAGAATTGGTTTTTTCCCGAGCTGAACTATATATAAAGTATTATCAAACCAGTCTGACAGACTAAATCTGCCTCTGCATCAGGACTTATTCTGTCAAGAACAATGTTCTTGTCTCATGCTAGCCTAAGCAACAGAATCAAACACAGGCCCATTAAGTCCGTGCTACAGCCACCAATTTAAGCACTTTTAAGACAAGAAAAAACCACAAAACTTTTTATTAACACCTTAATGCTGTTTTTTAATATAATATCCATTACTCAGCTTAAAAAAAGAAATTGTTTCTAGTAATTCTGAGGCATAAAGTGCCCATTTTCTCTCTTCTGATTTATATCATTGTTCTGTTTTTACAGCTTACTGTTGACAGAGTGAGGTAATTCAACTACAATTTTTCCAATGTTTTTTCCCATGTACATGTAATCTACAGCACGGAATACAGACTCCAAGCCAGTGAACTTGCCCTCCGGAGACATGTCTCCAAAGTCCACCTCACAAACCAGGTCTCCTCTTTCATACATCTTGAGCAAGTGCTTCAGAGCCATTTTGTACTCGGAAAGGTAGTGGTTCAAGAAGAAACCCCGGATGCTGGCAGACTTCTTCAATAGTTTTGCTGGCAATAACTCTGCTTTAACGGGCGGGAGGCCAGTAGGGTTTTGGTAGCCAGCGATAAAACCAATAACTATCAGGCGCCCTTTGGTAGCCAAGGAGTTAAGAGCCAAGTCAAACATCTTTCCCCCAACAGATTCATACACTACATCCACACCTTCGGGGTAGTCCTTCCTAAGAACAGATTCAACATTTTCAGTTTTATAGTTGATCGTACGGTCACAGCCAATGGATTTCAGAAAACCACCCTTTTCATCACTGGAGCAGGTTCCAATTACGTGGCATTTTGCCTTCTTTGCAAGCTGCACAGCGAACTGGCCCGTTCCTCCAGCCGCTGCTGTCACCAGAACCTTCTTGCCTTCAGACAGCTCTCCCAGCTCTTGCAAACTGATGTATGCGGTAGCGCCACTTACCATTAAAGTAAGAAACTCGGGTTTCACAGAGGGTAGAGGAACTGCTTGTTTGGCAGGAACAACTGTGTATTCAGCAAAGGAACCTGCCTTCACGTAGGCCACAGCTTGACCCACTGTATAATCAGCACTGGCACTGAGTCCTAACGCTACCACATCACCGACACCTTCAAAACCTATATCAAATGGGGGTTTAACTGATGCGTCATATCGACCAGCTGAGTAGTTTATGTCAGATGCATTAATGCCGACAAATCTAGAAGAAAACAAAAATGTATTAACAAGATTTATTCCTTACCAAGTCTTTGTCGTATGAGAAACCTTCAATTTAAATTCGTGGGATAAGTATGAGACTTTTTTCTGATTATTGGTATATTTGAATAATGAGTACACCCCAGAGACTACTTCCATCAGACTTCTGTAGTTTACATTCTATTACTGTAGAATTAAAGATATATTTGCTAAAAGAAAAAAAAAAAACCAAAAAACAAAAACCAACTTATATTTTCCTCAGGTCCATTTGACCAAACTAAGCAAACTAAAAATAATTCTGTACAAGACTAAAGGATGAAAATTAATTGACCACTTTATACAAGACGTGAAAACAGTGAAGAATAAAACGTGCAAAGCGGTAAATATGTGGATTCTGGCAACAAATTTACATTTTTGAATATAATAATACTGTTAATGACTAACGATCATATTAACTATCGATGTCATTTGCAAGGTCATGTTACTGTAGGCAAGTACTTTTTAATTGATGGAGTCACTACAGCAAATTTGCCTTTTGATGTAGCTAATGTCAACGTTAAAATATTTTTCTTTATATAAATTACTTGCAACACATCAAAACAACCTTGCACAGAAGGACTAAAATTATAAGACTGAGTATCAAGCCCTGCTGACCTCTAACAGGTGAAAATGGATGCTAATTTCTTTTTTAGAAAAAGATAAGAGACATTCTCACAACTTGATTAAGCACTAGGAGATAAGACCTGAAAGAAAGCTATGGTCTAGCTTAAACACAAAGAATATTTTAGTAACACTTGGGTTTTTTTAAACCATAATGATATCTCTACACAGGAAAGGGAAGAGAGACTGTGGAAGATTCTGTTGACTGGAAAATGTAAAAAAGAAACACATACAACAGAAAACACCAGGACTTGTACTACGTGTGGAAGTGACAACCTGAAAGGTGTACCTGATACCACGCAAAAGCTGCAGAAGCATGCAAACAGCGCAGTTTTAATTGTTGCAGTTAGCAATAGGCTCAAATCATGTGTGTGTGTAGTTTTAAATTGCTTGCACACCGAGCAAGGAGAACTAAACCCGCTTTGCTCATTTTGATTTCCTTCGTTCTTTGTAGCATGGGGAGCCTCAAACTTTCACCAACGTAATGTGTTACAGAGAAAAAGACACGTACGTATAAACATATCCATGCATAAAATAGGTGAACGTGACTGTTGCTCTTTTTGATTCTGCCTTTACTTCACTCCTCAGCCGCAAAAAAAAAAAAAAAAAAATTAAAAAAATGCCCGCGTCTTGTTCGTAGATACAAAAAAATCCCCTATTATCCTGCTTTAAGGTAACTCCCATTCAGTACTCCTAAAAGACATCTAGAAAAAAGGTAACGGAGCAGCAGCTCCCGAGGCGAACCGTGTCCCTCGGCCTGCCGGGAGAGGGGCTCGGAGCACCGCGGGGAGGAGCAACGG